CTTTTATGGACAGATGAATCAAATTTTTCAAATTCTGGAATGTTTAATAGAAAAAACCACCATTATTGGTCAAGAGAAAATCTTTTGTTAGTACATCCAAGAGGCCCTCAAGTCCGTTTCAGTTTCAACGTTTGGTGCGGTATAATTGGTTCAAAAATTGTTGGCCCGTTCTTTTATGAGGGAACCCTAACTGGTGAAAGATATGTGGAATTTATGTCAGAAATTCTGACTAATTTCTTAGACGAATTGGATCTTATAAGTAGACATCATCTGCATTTTCAGCAAGATGGCGCACCTGCCACAACTCCAGAGGTACTTATCATTTTCTAAGTACTACTTTTAATGATCAGTGGATAGGAACAAATGGCCCAATACAGTGGCCTCCCAGATCACCAGATCTAAACCCACTTGATTACTTCTTGTGGGGTTACTTAAAGAACCAAATTTACAAGCGAAGGTACGATAACCTTGACGCGTTAAAGACTGCAGTTAGGGAAAAGATAACCCAGATAGATGGTAGGACCATACTTAAGACAGTTCGAGCAGTTGAAAAACGTGCCCAAAAATGTATTGAAGATCAAGGTGGTGTTTTCGAGCATCTTCTTTAAAAAAATTGTTATTGTATTTTGTAAGATTATAAGTTGATGTTGAAAATAAAGTTTGTCGATACAATTTAATTGTTTCAGATTGGAGGCCATAACTTCAACAATTTGTAACCTAGGAGAAAAGTTATTGTAAGCTTTTTTGTTTAAAATTTGATGCTTTAACAGAAAAAAATATAATATACAGGGGTTTCCATTTAAAAAAATGTTATTTTACTGAAAAAAATCAAAATAACGACTCTCAATTGTTTTTTTTTATTTCTCATTTTTACCAGCGTTAAAAATGCTACTAGTTTGCTAATTCAAACAACTTTGTATTTTCACTAATAACAAAGTTACTAATGGTGGACACTTAATTTGGATAACCCTGTATATCAAATAAAGACATTGAAACTGCAATAGAGCTGTTAAATAATGATATGAAAAAGGTAATAAATTGGTTAAATGTAAATAAACTTAAACTAAACACAAACAAAACAAAATATATGCTAATTGGAAAATATTTGGATCAAAATACGATAAATCTTACAATTAATCATGAAAAAATTGTGTCAATCGAATCATTTAAATATTTGGGCATATACGTAGACAGTAAATTAAAATTTGAAGGGTACTATGAATTTATTATTTCAAAAATATCCAAGAAAATAAATTACTTTTATAGAATTTCGCATAGCCTAAGCGTTTATTCTAAAAAATTGTGTACAACACTATCATTCTTCCTCATTTGTTATATTGTTCGACTATTTTGTTCACAATATTACAAAATAAAGCTATGAGAATCATATTAAATAAAAATAAATATACTAGAATAAATTTTATGCTGAAAGAACTACAATGGTTAAATAACAAAAATTTCATAGCCTACTTGGTTTTCATTTTCATATTCAAGTTGAAAAATCATCTTCTACCAAATCACTTGGAAAATTTTATTGTATTGAACAATGAGTGCGACAATTATTCTACTAGAGGAAGTATAGACTTTCATTTACAAAACTGCAGTAGCAATATAACGAATTTAATAAATTAAGTAATGATATCAAGAAATGTGTCAGTTTGAAAATGTGCAAAGGGAAATTGAAAAAATATCTCATGGAAAACCAGAATTCATAGTAATGAAATTTTGTATAAAAATATTTAGCCTTGAAGACCAAATATATTTTGTGATATACTGTTTAATATGGATATTATGGACATTGTAGCATTAATGCTAAATAAATCTGAAACAAACAAATTATTAAGATTTGTAGAACAACGTTGAAATATCTCAATGTGCTTCAGATGAGAATATTTTTCTTGGCATATGCATGATAGCACTCGCAGTCGATATACTAGATATAGATATTTTGAGGTCGAAATGTCCACTATATGGTGTGCTTAGTTACATAGTAATCAGATCAATCAGCATTAGCATTTCAATTTTATCGTTCTATAAAATCAAAGCCAAGTTATTTATTGCTTACATGTAAATGGAATAACATCTTTGAATGTCCTTTTTCAGAAGTGTGGCGAAATGAAGATTCTACAGGTTTCCCTTTTTCAGACTGATTCAATGATAGACAATCTTAATTACACGCGTAAAATTACGCAACCTAATGAAAGTAAAAATACTTAAAAACATACACATTCAGAAAAAAACAGGGCCACCGTAGCAGTAAGCATTAAGATCTCGGTATTAAAATTCTTTTGATTTGAGCAAATAGATCAATAATTCAAGACAATAAGAACCGGGCGTCCTATGAAAAATTTTGTCGCATTTACGGGTCAGTGTTAGATTCTTTGTAACTCCATGTTGATGCTATGCGACTTTTTTGTGGATATAAAGGGTGTCCGCAAAGTTGGGGTTTTCCTTTTCAGACACAACTACGCTTGATATATCAAAGCTAATGTCTGGTGAAACGTAAGCGAACAAGAAAACAAATAAATGAAAAAGTAGTCACTGTTCGGTTGAATTGAAATTCCAAGTACGGTTCTGTCCTAAAATCCGAGAAGCACGTGTAACAAAAAAAAAACAAAAAAGAAAGCGAACATATGACGTCGGTGTCACTTTTTCTTGGTGAACGTATTTTATTTATAAGTACTGTTCGAAGTTGTCGCCGTTGGCTTCAAAAACACATATGCGGTGCAGGCTTTTAGAGTGGAGTCCTTTTCCCGAATGAATGCAGCAGCTTGCTGAATTATCAGATGTAATTCGTCAACCGTGTGCACCTCAGTGTTGTACACTAAGCGTTTCATTTCGCCCCAAAGAAAAAAATCACACGGTGTTAAGTCTGGAGATCGCGGAGGCCATGCTACGGATTACGTCCGATCCACCTATTCGGAATTGATTCATTTGAGAACTTACGCACTTCGTGTCTAAAATGGGGCGGTGCACCGTCATGGAGAAACCACACTAATTATCTTACACTCAAAGGCACATCTAGCAGGGTTGGTAGAAGGTTCTGCAATAAGTATAGGTATTGAATCCCGTCCAACCAATTCGGGAGAATAAATGGTCCAATGAGCATGCCGTTTACCATGCTAGCCCAAACATTCACAGAGAATGTTTGTTGAAAGTGTGACCGACGGACAGCGTGAGGAGGATTTTCTACTGACCACACAGGTGTATTGCGGAAGTTATTCACCCCGTTACGCGTGAACGTGGATTCGTCTGTGACTAATATGTACGTCAAAAAGTCCGGATTATTGTCATGTTGGTGCAACAACCACTCACAAAACTGCACTGTTGCAGGAAAATCCTCAGCTTCGAGGGCTACGAGATTCACTACTTCTTCATCAGTTTGCACCATTCGGGGTTGTCTAGGTCTCCCACTGTGCCCACTTCGACATTCCTCCAAACGACCCGTATCCCTGAGTATCTGCACAAGGTAAACAAATCTACGGGGCCTTGGATGATGACATCTCGAAGCCTCGGTCGAATTAGAAGACACGCACCGTAAATTAACAGCATGTCGACTAGTTCGCTAGCGGTGTATGAGTGTGCCATTTTTTTTTTATTTTTTTGAACAGCAATCGGCTTGATTGAGTTTGCGCAGCCCAATATCTCGGTTCTCTTAAGACATTGGTGTTTATACTACTAAGAAAATCCGTTTTTTTCTCAAGATCTACACGTCGTGTAAAGGAAAACCCCAACCCTGTATATGAAATATAGAGCAGCTTTGTATGAATATTGACCACTGTCGCAGATTTAGGTCGTTAAAACCAATTCATAACCTAGTCGACAAGGAAAAAAAATTCGCTATTGTGAAATCGAATAAAAAAGTCATATAGAGAGTTTTGGCAATCACAAAACGTTGACGTTCGTCTTTTCTAACATTTGTATCCACGATTTATGTATACAGAACACTTCTTATGATGTAAATGTCGAATGAGGTCAACATTAAAGTTACGTATGCCGTATTTGTGATTTCCAAAACTCGGTATTACCGAAATTCGTTCACAGTATAACGTGTTTGATGATAATTGCAGAAATCGAATATGGATTTAAATCTCTACCTATAACATTTTTAACCGTTTTTTTTTTAAATTTTCGATCCGAAAAATGACAAGCTCAGTGACATGTATCAAAATACCGTTCAGCGGTTAGATTGCTTCTAAAAAGTGGTCGCTACAGTAGCGCTACGTTGTGATGAAATGAGCACTGAAAATAACAGACAGAGTGTTCGAGGTTGGGAACAACCTTTAAAAATTCAGTCTCCCAAAATTTAGTTCAGGACAAGCACAATGTAACAAACCCTAGATCCATCTCACCTCATATATTTACTTAAAACAGTTACTTTTCTCTCTCTTCTCGCTCCTACTTTCTTCTTCTTTTTTCTCCCTTTCCTCTAGAACTTGTCTGGTTTCTGGGATAACAGACCTGACAGACCAATGACAAACACTGACATTACAGTGATTATGACTTGAAAATTAAGGTCCTCCGGACCGTCTTGAGAAGCAACGACGGGTAATAGTAGTAGTAGTAGGTTAGGAACGATATTAATTTCAAAGTGGCTTTTCTCTTTTCTATAGTTGCGCCACCTCGAAGGCTCAAAGCCTTCGCACCCGAGGGCACCGTGTGGCTATAGGGAGATATATCAGTAGGAGAAAGTGCTGACATCACACAAACTCTAGTGAGGGAACACGAGTGCATGTAATATGCACACATTCTCTCCCTCTCTTAGAGATCCGCCGGGTGAGATGGGATTCGAACTCCCTCAGCTCACCGCGGCTGCCTAATGATGACATCGAAATATTTGCACTATTGCCAGACCTCAGTTGGCCCCACATGACACAAATTTCACCATAGAGACCACATCTATGAACTTTACTCCTGGCGAATAGAGACTTTCTAGAGTTCGCAGGAATACGTTCCTATGGTACTAAAGATGGTTGAAGTCAAACTCAGCAATCGCTTACCTTAGACGCTTCCGTATGGAAAGTGCCTTCAGAATTGAACAGCGACTGTAGATTCGTGACTAAGAACAAAACTCTGGAGTCATAAAGGGCGGGCAATTCATCGTGCAATTCCGAATTGAGCATTTCGTAAGTACGTTTGGCCTCGTCCAGCTGTTCCCGACCTCTCTGCAACTTCACTTCGTCCCTGCGCTTCGAGGAGTTCGCCTGCAATGCTTGGAAACTGTGTCGTTGGGAGTCGTAGTCTATCAGTTTGCGGTTGCGCTTATCGATCTTCTTCTGTAATTTTAAAAGAAACTAGAATTAGTTACTATAATACTCAATATATATTTAAAATATTTAACGTCTAATACAATATAGTTAACTATAGAGCAATTTTGTTTTTATGCAACTGTGCTAAGCTTCTGGAAATAGTCATTCACAGTCGAATTTATAATTCCGTACGTGATATCGTTTCAATATGCATGGTGGCGTTGTGACAAAAAGATCAACGCCAACAAATCTGATGGTATTTAAACAATATTTATCAGACTGTGTTGATGTGGTATATACCGATTTTGCCAAAGCCTTTGACAGGTTGGATCATGTAGTTCTTATAAAGAAACTTAAAAATTATGGCTCAGATCATTCAGCCATGCAATTTTTTTAATAATATCTATCTAACTGAAAGCAGTTTGTTTTATATAATGGTTACAACTCTTATGAATATGTTTGCATATTGGGGGTGCCGCAGGGGTCAAATCTTCACCCACTGCTTTTCACATTAAATGAGTTGTGTGATACTCTCAATTGTAATAGACTTTTTTATGCTGACGATTTGAAAATTTTCCTACCTATCTGATTTTGACTTTGCCTATTACAAGTATGGAATTAGATAATATGCAGACATGGTGTCAAGTAAAAAAACTTGTTTCGAATGTAAAAAAGTGTGACGTAGTAAGTTTTACCAGGTGATGAGGTACTTACTCGTTGTCAGAAAACTAAAGATCAGGGAGTTGTTTTTGACTCAATTTTGTCTTTTGTTGAGCATATTTCAGTAATGGTTAATGCCGCATCAAATACATATGGATTCATAATAAGAAATTATAATTATGAAGATTATTATTAATTTTAAAGTTATTTTCGCGAAATTTTGACTTTTTACTTTCATGTCGCTGAACTACAATTCTTACGCGCCGTCGAAGCTGATGATCTGCAAAATATAGTATGCATTTTATTTCGCAGGATTCAGTTGTGGGAATGCAACTTTGAAAAAGGAGAGAAGCGTTTTCAACTATGATATAAAAGTTATCCCATACTCGTATGTTCAGAAATCTTGAACATTTTTGTACGACTAAAGGTTAAAAGAAATGTTATTTTGAACTGTTCTAAAACTATTTTACTCTTCACGATTTTGGAGACTCTGTAATTACACTTTTTACATTTTTTTATTAGCAAAAACTACTGGTGAACCATCTTAATCTTCAATATTAATGTCTACCTGGGCTAGAATGCAAGGCACCATTTTCTCCTCAGATATTGATACATTCTTTCGGATACCCGGGGACGCTTCTAATAGATTTACATTCAGCAATCACGTATGATTTCAAGGATATTTCAAGTAGTGTATTAACTGATAACTTCAGATGGTCTGTTAGAAGTATCTTTTTTGGAATAAAAAATTAATCGCTACCGCAAATTAGACATATAAGTTCTAATTTTGAAGGCATTTTCATGCTTTACAGCTTTCATCGGAACCAGTTTTACCAAGACTTCGGAGTTTTTTTGAAAACATGGAAATTTTTTCTATTTTAACAGTTAATAGAAAAGATACTCTGCAAAGTTTTTCATCTTTAGATTTTTTGAATAATATCTATCTAACAGAAAGCAGTTTGTTTCATATAATGGTTACAACTCTTATGAATATGCTTGCATATCAGGGGTGCCGCAGGGGTCAAATCTTCGCCCACTGCTTTTCACATTAAATGAGTTGTGCGATACTCTCAATTGCAATAAACTTCTTTATCCTGCGATTTAAAAATGTTCCTATCTATCTGACTTTTGACTATTACAAGTATGGAATTAGATAATATTCAGATACGGTGTCAAGTAAACAAACTTGTTTCTTTTTTTTTATATCGAATGTAAAATATGTAAAAAAGTGCAACGTAGTAAGTTTTACCAGAAGGAAAAGTACGTTTGTATTCGACTACACTATAGGTGATGAAGTACTCTCTTGTTGTCTGAAAACTAAAGATCTGGGAGTTGTTTTTGACCCAATTTTGTCTTTTGTTGAGCATATCTCAATAATGGTTAATGCCGCATCAAATTCGTATGGATTCATAATGAGAAATTATAATTATCAAGATTATTATTAATTTGAAAGTTATTTTCGCGAAATTTTGACTTTTTACTTAGTGATTCATGTCGCTAGACTATAATTCTTATGCGTCATGGAAGATGATGATCTGCAAAATATAGAATGAATTTTATTTCACAGGATTCAGTTGGCGTGCAACTTTGAAAAACGAGAGCGTTTTCAACTATGACATAAAAGTTATGCCAACTATATGTTCAAAAATCTTGTACATTTTTGTTGGACTGAAGATTAAAAGAAATGTTATTTTGAACTATTCTAAAACTATTTTACTCTTCACGATTTTAGAGACTGTAATTACACGGCCATCAAACTTTTTCATTTTTTTATTAGCAAACACTACTGGTGAACCATGTTAATCTTCAATAACTTAATGTGTACCTAGAGCTAGAATACAAGGCACTAATTTTCTCATATATTGATACATTCTTTCGGATACCCAGGGAGCTTCTAATAGAGTTACATCCAGCACTCACGTATGATTTCAAGGTTATTTCAAGTAGTGTATAAACTGATAACTTCAGATGTTATGATAGAAACTCACGAACAACTATGTTGATACTGTTGGATATGTCACTCAACAAGAAATGACATGGTGCATTTAAAAGATTTCGACATCGAATAACGAGGAGGTTTGAACGTTTATATACATAAAGAAGCTAAACACGTGATCTTAACTATCCCAGAATATGCGGTCGACTAAGCAATCTTCCCATAAAGAATGTCCTACGGGATTGCCAAACTTCTGTAGGTGGATATAGAATGTCTCTGAATAATGATTTATCTTGAGTACCTTTATTGGAATAAAAAATTAATCACGACAGCAAATTAGACAAATAAGTTCCAATTTCAAATGCTTTTTCATTCTTTACAACTTCTATCGGAATCAGTTTTACCAATACTTCAGAGTTTTGTTGAATACATGGGAATTTTATTCTATTTTAGCAGTTAATAGAAAAGTTACTCAGTAAAAATGTTCATTTCTAGATGAAAGAATGTTTACATTTATCCTCAATAATGCATTTCTTTTGTGTAATCCATCTAAATATTTTTTTCTGAAACAACATACAACAATTAATTAGAATAATAATGGTTTAACGGTGATATTTCTGGAAAGCCTGATCTTTCTGTTGAAAAAATGTATCCTTCTTTGTCTTCGATGAAATGGGTCGCTTTCGAGAAAAACGCCACATTATTGAAACATGGTAGTTTTTCTCATTATAAACGCAAAAATGCGTTCAATCAGGCAATGTCGTCCAGGATGTGTTGCAGAAAAACAACTTCCAGTAGCAACCTTTCGGGGCCCGTATCTCTATGCAGCGTGTTCCGTGAGGAAATTGACATAGTGAAATGGTAGGAATCGAGATCTTTTCATATTTGACAATGAAGCAATCCCAAATTCATTTTTTACAGATATATAGGGTGATTTACATATTTTAGGCAAATAACAGTGCAGCCGGGGTACGAGTACATAATCAGCTCTCTGAGCCTTTCAATATAACAACGGGACTTAAGCAGGGAGGTGCTTCTTCTTTTTAATATAATTTTTAAAAAGGCAATTATAGAAGCACAAGTCATCCCAAAACTTTGAGCAGCTGAAGGGCCAAAACTTCTAGCACACGCAGATGATACTGACCTCCTCGGTAATACAGTGGTATCAGTTAAAAATCTTGGACGAGTAGAGGCAGAAACAAAAAAAAAATGGGGTTAAGCTATCATTGAGATAAAATCAAATACATGTGCATCAACTGATACGCAAGACGGTACACAATAGGACAAAATGTAACAATAGAGTCCTGTAACTTTGAGTGTGTTGAACTCTTCAATCACCTTGGATCAAAAACCAGACTGGACTCGGTTTTCCAACTTTGTGTGTCAATTTGAGCATAACCTTCGAATTTGTACATGTCTGTTTTCAATGTATAACTGAGGAAGACTTTCTACATTATTTTCACTTACCCTCATTTCTGGAAACTGGCTTTGATACGTGTTGAGCGGTAATAGCACCTGGTCAGCCAATTTGTGACTGAATTCCTGCCACAGCGCATCTACGGATTGAGTCTGTACATAAAGTAAATCATGGCCACTCCACTGTGGTTCGTAGATTTCTCCAATAGCTTCTAAAAGGGTTTTTGAGGCTGCTTGACATGCTGAAAAACAAAGAGCGATGATAAATATTGAAAATCTCACACAGTTCAAAGTGAATGAAGTTCACATTATTGACAAGCGCCTTTTTGAACGCAGTTTTTTATATGAGTAACATGGACAGCACCGTAAAATCATGAATCAATGATGGACATACGGATGGACTTTCTCTAAATGCGCACAGAAAGATAAAATTGAAAACAAACATATCATTCAATTTGATATTATTAAGACAAAAATCTTAAATCTACTAATCATAAAGACATTCAACTGGCGTTTGGCACAAGCTTAGGTTTTTTATAGCTATAAAAGCTATAGCGTACTACATACACAAAATTGAACACGTTGGCCAGCACTTCGATATACCTATGTAATAAATAATAAACAATGATAAATTTCATTCCTTACTTTCGATTCGTGAATGTATTTTGGAAATTGCCTAGGCGCCATGCCATACCAATATTCGCATGCACGATTTGTTATAAAAAATACAATAGTCGAGCACGATATGGTTTGTTTATGCGGAAGAGAGTTAATGTAAGCACGTGAACGTAACAATTGCGGTATCGTTCACGCTTTTGATTTACTCTAATCGCTATCGAACTGTATCCTGTAAATATTTAGCTATGAGTGTATAAACAGGGAGATAATCATGTTTTCAAATAAAATCCACTGTTTCGTGAATAAAAAATTAATATACAGGGTGATTCACAAGTCTTGACCAAAAATGAAACATAATACACAGGACCGCATTTTAAGGGGAGTCTTCTATGTAACATTTTTCCCTCGAGGGCTTCTTTAAAAAGATACGGGGTGTTGAAGTATGAAAATAAAAAACATTTTTTTTAATATCTTCAAAACCGTCAACTGGAATGAAATAAAATTTGGTATGTGGATTTACCCAAGTATTGTCCACATTCAAAAGTCTTTACTCAAAATAAAAGAGCACCAGTAGCGGAGATACAGGGGATTGGGGGCATTATTTTTCCAAATAAAAATAGTAAGGCAGTTTTTTTTCGAAATGCGTTATTTTTCGAATTTTACCTTCAATTTGCTACAAATATTTACTCTTGTATTTTTTCCTAGAGTGCACTGTTTTCGTAAACATAAAAATACAAGAAGTTAGACCATTCATGAAGAGCCGAGATACAATTAGTTTCAAAATAAAATAAGAGGATTTGATATCAACTTGACGTTTCTTGGGAGATAGTTTGTCAAAGTTATGTGTTATATGGTTGTTATCGTTACCACTCCCATTTTTTTTTGAAAATCCAAGTCAAGAGTTTATTTTTTCCATTTTGGAGCGTTGTGAAATGTGTACGGGTTCTGTAATGGAAATACTTTAGCGGCTTCTCGGGAGTATCAACGTAATTACCTAACAGACGCCAACCTACCCCAAAGGTTTTTACTACTTAGTTTTTTTATTTTTTATTAATGCACTCCACAAAAAAAACGAGTAATTATTTGTAGCAAATTGAAGGAAAGAATTGAAAAATTACGCGTTTCGAAAAAAAACTGTGGCGTACTACTTTTATTTGAAAAAATAATGCAACTAATCCCCTGTATCTCCGACACTGGTGCACGTTAATTTTAAGTAAATACTTTTGCATGTGGACAACGCTTAGGTAAATCCACATACCAAATTTTAGTTCATTTCAGTTGACGGTTTTAAAGATATTAAAAACAATTGTTTTTTATTTTTAAACTTCAACACCCCGTATCTTTTTAATGAAGCCCTCGAGAAAAAAATGTTACATAGAAGACCCCCCTTAAAATGCGGTTCTGTGTATGATGTTTTATTTTTGGTCACGACTTGTGAATCACCCTGTATAGCTAATAAGCATAGGGCGTTGTTTTCACCTTCTCTAGGTTATATTGAGTCGGGAAACAAAAAATAATATTTATTTATTTATGCATCTAGGGCGTGAAGCGAGCGTTCATGGCTGCCGCATGACATTACGGTCCAAGGCGGTGCTGCAGGTTCAAAAGCCCAAAGGAAGATACATGTTTATTACCCCTGAAATGCACTGGTAAGTAGACCGTATCTACTATAGTGCCAGAATCTAGCGGCCATTGTGGTGACCCAGCTGGCAATACGAATTGGCATAAGTTCCACCGGACTGCCTGCTGTTTTCAATTTCGAGTGGTCGATTCAACACAAGTTAATTCAAACATAGCGTGCGCTAAGGATACTTTGTTGCTCTAGGGCACAAAGGAGTATGTGTGCCGAAACGTGAGACTGAATTCTCGGAAAACTTATCCATAAAATACGCTTTACAGCCCGGTCGCAAATCAATGTCTACTTTCCGATTAAAATGTGTTTAGAAAACCCCATCTCACTTTTATTATGCATTTTTCCAGAAAAACAAAATGGCTGTCAAGCAAGTCATCAGCATACTGAATATACGAACAGGATTCATGTTCTGGAAGATGTTCGCCTCAGGGGATGATTTAAAATTGAAGAGAGGGATCTACAAATTGAAAAACACTTTTGTTTTTTTTTTAATCTCGTACATATCGGGGGGGGGGGCACCCCCTGGATGTGCCCCTGAACAAAATATTTCAATAACAATAGAAAAATGGGGCTCTGCATCGTACTGGCATTCAGGGGGGCTATGGTGCAAAATTACATAGGGATGCGCTACTCCAACATCAGATGTCTGAAAACTTGTACTATTTCATTGTGCAACATCCAATTTCCTTTTTTATATAGACTAACCTAATCAATGCAATAGTGGCGCAACCTTGTCAGGAATGCGAAATTACCACAGAACACCGCAGGCCAGTTATACGTGTTCCTGGATAAAACTTTCGCATTACATATTTCAGCGCATTGTCAATAATTCTTTTAGAAAGTTACTCCGTTGTGAAATTAAAAATAACATACTCATTTACAAAGTAATTTCCATTTCATTGTAATAATGCTTTTGGCATATGATTTGTATGTAAGTAGATGCGTATGTCTTTCAAGCCACGGGATTTGTGGGAATTCTCCTGGAATTGATTTTAATTTTTATATAGAAAATAAAACAGAAAAACATTAAATCACATGGTCTCGGCATCACCTAATCTTAAAATATTCGCCGTGGGTACACTTGAAGCTCTTCTCTCGTATGTCGTATGGCCTAGGACCCCATCTGTTTGAAGCCACAAACCCTAAATTTAATGCCAAAAAAAGGTTTTTTAACGTATCGACGAATTGGCTAAAAATTGTACTTTTGACGAACTCAAAAAATGGCGTCAAGTAGATTGACTCTATCATCCCACGCATTCGTTGGAGGCTTCAAAGAAATGATGGATGAGTCAAATCGTTTCAAAAGGAAAGATATCTGCATCACACAAGTCCGTGTTTCTCATTTATGTCGGCTTGTCGGTCAGTAAAAATAAGTCACCATTTACCAAAGCATTGCGGAACGCTCCTAATATCCAAATGTGACTAAAATATATAAATATTCCTCTAGTAGCGGTGTGTCCGTGACGATACCACCGCAGACCAGTTGGAGTTTGTTACCCATTACACAGTCGGCAGTGGCTTCCACGACGATGCAGCATCGTGAAGTGCACGCAACGCGAATGATTTATTTTCAATTATGAGCACATTATACATCGGATTATTATCATATAATTTTCCCGGTGTTACCGGGATCAGAGACTTCTTAATGGTAGAACGTCTTTGATTTATACTAAAGATGTTACATTTACAAGCCCCTACTACCTAGTTTCAACCCTTACAAAAAAAAATACGAAAATGATCTCAGGAGTTTAAGCAATTCTGTTTTTTTTTTTGGTTTTCCCCCAGCTCCTCCACGACTATATCGATTTCCAAAAACTACACAGCTTTTTCTTCCTTGGCATAGTAGTAACCTTGTGTGAAAATTTCATCAAAATCCGGTTGTTATAAAATTAGCGGACAGACACATTGACGGAAATGAATGACATATGGTTTTTCGTGATGTACATGTCATATAACATCCAAAAACATATCTCAATTTCGAGATTTTTCCCGATTACAATACTCCCTCGCCAGTTTTGGCATAGGAAGTAAAAACATTAGTAAGCAGCACAAAATATTTAAAATAAGGGAGCAAGATCTTTTGATCAGATAATTCGTAGAAAAACACAAAATTTCTATTTTGATTCGTGGCAGAACATAACTATTTTTCAAATAACGTTGTGGTAGGTGACTTTTTACAATTTCCTAACTCACTCCAATAATCTGCAATGTCAAACTTCAGCATATTTTCAAATAACGATTCGATTTTGTCATAAAACAGTCAGAACTTTATATGTGATATTAAATACCTTATTAAGAATGCAAACGAGGTTCCAAAAACGTCACCAGCGTAAAGGATGTCTTTATGCATGCATCTCATAAATACAAGTGTAACAACCTGTGTCTCAGCAAGAGCGCTTTATGTGATCCATGTTCTATGGAAACTTTCCGTGTCATTTTGGCCGCACTTACTACCTTAGAAATATTGATTTAATTTTTTGAATCCCCCTGGATAATTACAATAAATCTCACAAGGGGGAGAAGTAACTACTCCCATTATCTGCCGTTCTCTACGCACCTGGCATACCAGTATCAGCCAGCAAATAATAGAATATAGCTCCAGAAGCAGTGGGCAATGAAAGAAACAAGCATTCGCAGTCGCGCCTTTTATGGTATTCTGCATATGTTTGCTCCTCCGCAGTTTAAGAAAATTAGACGTAGTCATTTCACGTCGGCGTTTGTAGATGAAGCAATGCCCTTTGCTAGAAGGACACTATCGAATTTTAGCATATAGAATTTTAATATTACTTTCGCTTTGATACAACGGAACGGCTAAGGGGAATCCGTGGAGATTTTTAACTTGAAATCTGACAATCTCTATACTACGCTATATTTATATCTACATTAAACAGCAATGCAAGTATTATGCTGCTTTCCTATTTTTCCTTCCTACGAGGCTTTTTCGTCCTTGGCGCAGTATTAACATTGTGTGAGAATTTCATCAAAATCTGAGCGGTATTTTAGACGTTGTAGAGCGACCAAGGATTAGCGGACAGACAGCGACAGTTATGAAGCACATTTTAATGATAAATTCCTCAAAATCCAGAATCACGTTATGCTGCTCTAATATTAAACGTGAGCCATAGAATCTAGTAATGAGTCTAAGATACTTGGCGTCATTTTAGTTACTAACTTAATATTCAAAAGTCATGTTTCTAGCATATTACAAAATTCTATTGCAAATTACGTGTTTTATATGCAAATAGGCGTGTTCTGCCATCTGCACTGCGAAAAAAGCTAGCTGAA